TGCCTACCATGTGCATGTCTAGCCTATCCTTGAACACCCTCACCAATGGGGCATCAACCACCTCCCGTGGAAGCATATTCCATACCCATTTCTGAGACATGTTGGCTGTTCTGCTCCAAGGACCCACCTCATCAGGGGCCTCCAGTGGGCACGTTCCTGCTATGGCAGAGAGGACTGAACCACCATGGAAGAGCAGCAGGTTTGCATCCCAGCACTGCATGACTCCTTTGATCACTATAGACTAGTTTCCCCCCAGTGAGATGCTTCAAATGTGCTGGATTACAAGTCCCATCACCCTTAGTAATGTGTTATTTTACAGATCCTAGCATCTCCCAGCCAGTATGCTGGGAGTTGTAGTCCAACACATCCAGGGACCACCTATTTGGAGAAGGTGGCTACAAAGAAAACATAATTTCCCATTTTGCATCTTTTAAACATCATCTGGAGATGAATGTAGTTGGAATAAATAATGCTTGAACACACCGCTGTGTATTCACAGGTAACAAAGGTAAGGTGGGAATTGTAACTAAGCAGCCATCCATAAGAAATCTTTCTAAATAGATAGAATTGTAAAAGCCAGAGCTTTGTGAAAACTTTACAGAAGTACAAAGAAGCTGACACACACAGAAAATGTTCCCCAAATTTCGAGTGTTCTTGCGGCTGAAAAAGTTTGGAGACCCTCCCCATCCCACTGTATGATGATGGCAAATATTTTTAGGAACTAAATTGGAAGCTAACCCAATAAACTAGTTAATTATCACTTGGTAATGCTTGAGGAACCTCAAAGCAGCATACATGGGATTCCAAGACAGGTTTCCATCCAGGCATTCAGTGGACTGAATCCTGCTTCAGGTCCAGCAAGATGGATCCATTCTGTGCCTTCAAGACTGTGGTCTTGAGTGCATTAGGAGCAGAAATATATTTAAATATTAAATAGCGGTAACTGAAGGACCGATTGCTTACTGTAGTTCTTCAAGAGGTCATCTGTGAACTCACTCATGCAGGTTCTGTGCCTGTGCAGAGCAGTAATTCAGAACCCTTTAGAGTTGGGCAGAACTTTAGGTGGGAATTCCGCTCACCTATGCACACGCTCACCTACGCACATGCGTGATTCCTGCTTCCCAGCCATTTTCCTCCACTGCGGTGAGGCACAGAAGCAGGAAGGAGGGTGAATGGTGTGAATGCACAGATAACTACTCAAAGAACAACAGTTACAGGTAAGCAATCTGCCCTTCCGTTATAGCTCTTTCATGCTCTTTACGGTCTCTGTAATTTACACATATGAATGACTGATAAGCAGAACTCACAAAAAGAAAGCAGGAAATGATCATGCCAAACCTGTAAAAAAGCCTGCTCGACTGGGGGAGGGCACACCCCCATACGCTCCTGCATCCAGGAGGTAGTTGGCGATGGAAGTGGGTGGTTCAGAGCAGCTTGCCATGCCACACAGTAGTACAAATGGGATGCCCCAAGGAAGTGTAGCAGTTGACACAACAGTCCTAGTTGAGTGTCTGCAGACATGTAAAGTCAGGAGAAAAACAAGGCTGCCAGACATATGGTTGACACACCCATCTGGCAAAGTGTTGTGGACATATGGTGCCCTTTACTGAGGCCAGCACATCTCACCAATAAACAAGGAGAGGCCCAGAATGAACCTTTATGTTGCAAATAAAAGGAGAGAGCTTCCAAATATCAAGCAAGTGAAGCCTGATGCCTTCATTAGGAAGGTAGGATCAGAAAAGAACACTATTACTATCTTGAAATGGGTGGCACTGTGAAACCAGCTTTGGGAAAAAGAAGAAATCCAGTCACAGGATCACCTTGTCCCAGTGCAAGATCCAACCAGGGCTGGTCAGATCAGAACACACAGAGTTCAGCTGCTCTTCCAACTGAAGTGAAACTGGAGGAGAAACCACCTTCATAGGGATGGTTTAATTGGTGTCCTGTACTGAGCCAGGGGTTGGACCTGATGGCCTTCTGACCGCTTCCAACTCTCTTATGATTCTGCAGTAAGTCAGTCTGGCTGCTAGTCCTGTATGAATGTGTGACGGGTTCCATGTTGAAACTTAGAAATGTTGGTGGGTGGGCAGATATTGGCCGATCCCTTGAGGAAACACTTGGCATCTGAGTGGAGGAAGAAACCTTCAAGTCTGTTGTTACTAATGGGGACTGTGGCCAAGTACGTGTGGAACAAGGCCAGCACCATCCCAATTATTCTGTGAGAAAGAAGGAAATCAAGAACCAGAGAGAGATCATATGTCTCATGCTGTTGCCCTGCACTGTTAAAAAATGCCGTGAATGCCTTCCATTTGGTGTTACAGGATGCTAGGGAGGAAGGTTTGAGTGAGGCTATCATAATTCCAGGGCTTCCTTGGAGAAGCTGTATGGCTCTGTATGTGGGTAGGATGGCTAGAAGCTGAGATGTGCAAAGAGATTTGACTGGGTGGTCCAGCAGCTGAAAGACTGGTGGATTTGATGAATGAGTCTGACTGACCTGAGGGAGGGTTCTTCTTCAGATTAAAGGGTCAGATGTTGCCTTCATGTAGTAGCCTCATGCAGACTTGTCACTGCCATAGTTGTGGCCATTACACCAAGGAGGCACTGTGAAATGTCTGCTCATGGCTGAGCGTGATATCTAACAGTACATATTAAGTATTGTAGTGTATCTGACCTATCAATGGGCAGGAAAGACCAGGTCTGGGAGCCACTGAGGAAAGCCCTTATGAATTTTGAGTTTGGGAAGGGGTAAGGAAAGATTCATCTCTACGGACTGGTAGGCTTAACAACTGAAAAAGGTCTGAAGGGATGTTAATACTGGCCTGAAAGCAACTGAGCAACAGGGGGATGAGGAGCTATTCAATTATGAATGGAAAGATGATGATCCCTTGCAGTCTCAATGTGTCGCCACTAGAGGGGGTGTGTTTCGTGATGATCCTTGGCCCAATGGCCAGGTCAAAGCCTTGCACTGGTTTTACAGGTGAAAAAAAGGACATGTTGAGAAGCGGGATGAATGGTGATATGAAGCATTGAAGGGAGATAAGTATTCTAACAGAACTCAATGACAAATGGAAAAGTAAAGGAAACAAAAACAGTAACACTTGGCCTAAGTCCTAGGAGAGGAAAAGTGTAACTGTTTCTAGAAAGAAGGCCTTGGAACACGGAGAATGTTCCTGTAATGCCAATCACTGTGCAGATGTGAAGGAACAAAGGGGAAGGCAGAAGCCATGCCATGCAGCATACAGAGGGCCCTGGGTGGGACCCTCCTGCTTAATGTTCTGCCCAGCTCTAAAACGTTCTGAAGAATTCTCCTGAACAAGCATATAACCTGTAGTGTGAGTCCTAGTGACTATGAAGAAGAAATATACTTCATGGATTTGCAGAATCTGGAGATGCCTGCCTTCTTTAAGGAAAAAAAGACAGAGCCTTTCTTCTGCTTTAAATTCTCATATGAAGTGACAGGTTTGCAAAGAGGGGAAGTAAGGATGAGGAACTTACATGACAGTCCTCTTTCTAAAAGCCAGCACCAATGAGGTGCTCTTTTCCCCCAAAGAAAAGGCAATAGGAAATCATTTAAAAGTTTAAGCATTCAGTATATTTTCCTATGCAAATTTCATTGTGTCAATTATGACACAATTATGTACAGATTTTGCAAAGATTATTTGGAGGACAGAAATGACAATGGAATTATCCTTATTCCTGGAGTGAGCTTCAGGGTCTCTTTTTCAGTGTTCTTCCAATGCTGACATCTTTGATGCAAGCGCCAGCATGAGAGGATGCAACTAGCATACAGGGAACTGCTGGAAATATCACAGAGGTGAGCCATATGAAGGATTTAAACTGTGGGTTTTTTTTTTTAAACATTGTTTTCCTATAACTCATACTTTCCGTAAGATGCACTATCTTTCTTCCACAGGATCTATTAAATATAGGACACCAGAAATATTAATCTCAGAGGAGAGGTTCAAGAAGGTAAACAAAAGGTTTTATTCCCTGGTATCTATAGAAAAGGAAGAAGTATTTCCAAAGAACAATGAGCTCCCTAAATGAAGAGAAATTATGCGATGAAGCTTTCTGGGGGACTGTACCACTTCAGACATGAGAAGCCATGGTGAAATCTCACCATTGTGAATCTGTTGTGTTGTCTGGACACAGCTCCCAAATTCTTGCATGGTAGGATTAGTTTTCTGAAACCATGGAGATAACAAATTGTCAGATTTAAGATGCCACACTTTAGCGTGGCTTCTCTGGTCATCCAGATCCAGGACTGACATTTTACTGTTGGTACAGAAATACCATACAGTCCACTGGCAAGACCTTCTAGCCTTTGATATCTACTACCCTCAGTCGGCTAGCAGCAGATATGTCATTGCTCACTGTATTCCCATTGACAAAGTACTATGTCTGTCTCCTCGTTGACTTTCTGAAACAGGGAGGCAGCACAAAGATAGGCAGAAGCAAAAGTGGGAGATTGTAGCAAAGCAGTTTATTTTCATTAATAAAATCTCTGTGGGAGCTGGAGTGGCTAGGAAGCACCACAGATATGCAGTCACAGTAGGGAAGGAGAAAGAAATGGATCTGCCTCAGGACCGCCATGGACCAATCAGGAGGAAGCTGCTGTGGTTTATAGGCAAGAATAGGGAAAGGATGGGGACGTACAGCAAGGCTGGGAGGGCAGTAACCACAGTGCCCAAGTACCATATGACTGTCTGACCAGTAAAAGTTCAGGCATGTCACACTGTGGAAACAGCACAAGGTTGTTTGCCATGTCATGTGAACCCAGCCACAATGTGCAAATAATTGCTCGTTATAAAGAGTTCCCTGAAGTGAGAAAAATATCATGTCATATCATGAGAAAGGGATTGGCTGGCCTTCTGCTTGTTATGTATATATATTTTTAAAAAGTCCTAAGACCTTTTTAATGTGGCATGTATGGACCATAACACTTTTTCAGAAAATGGCCGACTTGTACAAGTTTCTGAAGTCACAGGAAGAATACTTACCTGTACACAATGTTCTCTCTATGAAGGTCTTCCAAGCCACAAAGAATCTCTGCTGCATAAAACAAAGCTCTTTCTTCCTCAAAGCCTGGGTTTCCCATATTGTAGATGTGGAACTTCAAGTCCCCTCCATTCATTATGGTCAGAACTAAACAGAGTGCATCCTTGGTTTCATAGGCATAGGCTAAGTTGACCTAGAAAGAGAATTGTGTCAGTTCAAGTAGAAGAAAATCCTTGTTGAACAGATATCATTCATTGCCAATGTTTCATGCCAGGAGTGACATATGACATCATATGGTTTAACAGAAAGAAAGGGGGGAAATGGACAAATTGTCAGCTAAAAAACCTGTCAGGAGGCAAAGGCAGCCAGATAATTTCACTGGATGTATATTATCATAAAGATCTCACACAGTACTGTGGATTCACACTTCCATGATCACTTTCAGGAAATGTACAGATCTGATGATAATAGGTATTTGATAATATATATCTTCTGCCCATCATATCATCAGCAGCACAACAGCTGCCAAAGGATTCACAATGTATTCTGGAATGTTGTACTTGAAGACAATCTGCAAAAAAATATGTTCTATGACTGAGGTCCTTCTGGAGGAGGATAATTTATCATAAGAACTTACTTTGGAACCATTCCAGTCTACCAAAGTCTGTTAATTGCCAGTGAATGGTATATAAATTAAAAAACTTGTGGTAGCAACAGTAATGACAAAAGAAATCCTATACAACCAACATAGAATACTGACTTGAATCAAGATGCAGCCCTGGAAGTACTGTATACTTCCTGTAACCAATTTCATTCAAATATATATGGGAATGCCACCTAATGGAGAGCCGATATCCATTGAAAATTTGGCAATACTTACTACAAATTGACTATTGACTTTTTCTAGAATCTGCTTTTCATTTAGGGCCATGGATTCACCTTTCCTCTTCTTTATTCGTTTTTTCTCTAACCTTTTGCACGCATACATTTTTCCAGTCGCTCGTACTTGGCAAGCACATACCTGAAAGGGGCAGTGGGGTGGGGGGCAAATTTTGGAAGGAAGGAGTATAGAGGAGAAATTAGCAACATAGCAAAACCTCTTCTTGACTATGTATCTCAGACCCCTTATTGTTAAAATTAATTCTTTGGAATTAATTGGGCAGTTTATTTTCTACTCTTCAGTATGAGGAAAGGAGAAATGCAAAGAGCACTGAACATCTCCCACGTACTAAATTGAGGTACATTGACCAGAAACAGTGGCGAACTGCAGGCTGGACTCGGGGCAAACGCCCAGACTCCAGTCTGCAGAATGAACAGGCGGGTCCTGCAAAGGCCGCAGGGATGGCTTACTACATTTGAGAGGTATCGAAGTAATATAGATTACCTTTTGAAAGGGAAGGCCTAAGACCATGTGAGGTCAGATACCTTAACCACATAAAGAAGAGAGTCTCCAGAGGACAGCTATATCCCAGACCCCCTTCCTTACCCTGCTGTGAACCTGTTAATTCCAGAGTCCAAAATGACACAACTGCACTACTGATGAGCCTAACATTTATAGACCTTGCAACCGTCCCCTTTCAGAGGGTCCAGACACACAGGAGGAGAAAGGTCCCTACTAAAGCAAGCTGGGAAAATGGGACACGCCCCTGAACTAGTTTTCAAAAGGACAAAGATATCTGTGAAATGTAAAGGGATATTTGAAGTGGGGTTTCTCAAATGGTCAGCTGGAAACCAATTTGCTCAAACCTAATGATGATCTGTTCAAATCAGTGTGACCTTAGCTAGCTAGCCCTAACTTAAGCTGCAGTAGATTCAATACAGCCTCTCAAAATATGCCTAAATCTGGATCCAACCTGTTAAAATTTACCAGTACTTCAGAGTTACATGCAAGCAAAAATTCTCTTTCGTATACACAGGGAGGGCTGCATGCTTGCACACCTGAGCCCACATCCATACCCACACAGCACTCATGGCTCACTCATGAAAATTTTATTGCTTAATTCATCAGATTTTTTTCCCTGCACGTTAATTTGTTGTTCCAAAGAGGAAACAGTTTTTAACAGAAGTTTTCATAATTACTCACCTCCCCAAAACCACCTTTTCCTAATACCCTGTACTGCCTAAATGTGTTTTTCGTTACTGGTTGTCTGAAAGAAAAAAATAAAGGCAGGGTGGGGGAGAGAAAAAGGCTGTTAATACCATTTGAAAAACTGTTGATTTAAAGTAGACTAATTGATCATTTGAGATTATTAGCTCAACAAAGGAGAAGTTAGCAGAATACTATCATACATGTAAGAATATACCAGCATTTCAACATTCCACATGGTGATAATTTTTTCAAATAACATTTTTCTAGTGACTTGTTCCCTGCTTCCCAATGGTTTGCTACACAGGCAGCCCCATCATCCTTCACTGGAGAAAGGATGCCGAACCTGGCTAGATGCTCCTTTTCTTTCTAAATACAGTCAGAGCAACTAAATGTGGAACCAACATATCACCTTGACAAACATGTATTCCCAGATCCTCATTTGTACTGCCCAGCTTCAACCAAGAAAAAATGGCAAACAGGATGAAAAGCATCTATGCCTTCCAGAGTTCACCGATTCTCTCCTGTAAATGTCCTCCAATTCAGATTTTTAGTCAATTAAATTCAGATGTCAGAGTCTGATGGGTGAAAATGGCAGGGGAGAATCAGCAGCTGGGAAAGTTTAAGGGCCTACACACTGACCAATCTTCCCTTATAAATGATTCTCTGGCCCACCTGCCCTAACCCCTTTAACACTAAAAATGGATGAAAATCCCTTCTTTGTCTCATAATGTCACCATTATCTCTGAACATTCCTCTTTTGCAGACGTACGGAATGTAGCAGAATTGCAGTGGTAGAACTGTATAGTGAGAGCAACAGTACACGCACAAAGAAACTTCCACTGAACTTGTGCTTTATCAGAATTTATCAGAATTGTAGGGACCCTGTTGCATAGCCTGGATTCATTCTTCCATGAATGTGAACTGGGCTAATCCTGTAAATTCTACCTTCTTCCATGCATGCTAATGAATATCAGGATGGGATTCCAGCAGGTCCAATCAGCGCTTCAGATTTCCAGGGAGAAAAAAAGGGAGCTTTCCAGGGAGATGGAGCAGTGCAGTTTCCTGTGATGTGTTAGAAATGTATTAAAGGAACACAGCTCTGGAAATGACCCTGAAGTCTAGAGTCAGAGCAGGAAAAACTGTTCGAGCGTGTGATGTACTCTGCACAGTAAAACATAAATAAAAAATGGAGTTGGGATAATGTTTAAGGGATACTGTGATGGCCTGATGTCCTTGCCAGATAAAAATAATCACTGGATTAAAAAGACAGCAATTGTCAAAGGAATTCTGCCTTTTCCATCCCAGGTGAAATATGTTCCATTTATGTGCTTGAAACTGGGCAATCTTGAGGTAGCGTCATAGCATCTATAAAGGCAATTTGAATCTCTCTCTCCCCACTGCTCTCATCATGCTTGTAAGCTGATCATAAAACATTCTGCTAATGTGAAACCTAAAGACTATGGACAGGGGACTACCTCATATTGCCATTTTTCAATGTCAATTAAAGGGACAATTCAGGACAGGACACTTGTGTTGAGTCAGGACACCAAACAGCAACATTTGCAATTTTATTTCCTATTGATCTATCTTTTTTTTTTTGTTGTTGAAGGCATATTGGCTGTGAAGCTGATTGCTTTCCACCTCAGCACTGGATACTTCAAAGAAAGGTCAAGTCTAGATCTGGGTCACCCAACTCCCATCTATAATTGGATTTTGTAAACTAATGGAAAAAACATGTTTGTCATGTTTTGGTTTCCTTCCACTCCCACACCCACCCCAATGAAAACATTACTTCATCAACAAACAATTCAATATGTATCTACAGAAAATACTCAAAACAGAATCATCACTACTGTAAGAATCAATCCTGCCACCAGGGGGTGGTGTGCCAATACCTTGGGGGGAAAGCTACAGATCCCAAAGTCATTACGAAAGGCTACTGTGAGCCTTCAAAAATGGAAGGGAATGTTAAGTAATGGAAAAGGTGAAATCCTTGAGTGAACAGCTCTCACGAACCACATAAAGGGTTTCCACATTCATGTGCTACATTTTGGAAATAAAACCTGTTAGAGGGGTACGGTTAAATCTGTCCCTTTCCCTAATTCCACATGGGTGGAATTGCCTTGCCTGTAGTGAAAGGAAAGCACCATGCCTGCAGCAGTGTTACTGAATGGGACCAGAATACATGTCTGGAAAAAATCCGAGAGGACGTTTTATGGACCCTGCTGCTCAGCCCCACACCTTCCCAGAAAAAATCTTGATCGCTAAAATCCTGAAAGGCAAATGTATATTAATCTTCAATTAATGGTTTCTAAAATTATTGAGAGCTGACTTATAAATATAATATTTTAGAAAAGAAAAATGCTTTGGACCACGTGCAGTGGTAAATACTGGGGGAGGAGGGGAACATTTATCTTCTAGGTTGGGTTGGGAGAACCATGTCCCATGTCAGGGATGGGCAATTTGTCGGTCTCAAATGTTTTAGCCCACTGGTGGCAACCCAATGGCACGTGCGCCACAGCAGGCATGCAGAGCCCTCTCTGTCGGCACACGAGCCAAGTTGCCCCAGCATCGCCCCAGCAGCTGAGCATTGGATAACAGCACACATAAGGGCCATGCACATGCTCAGAAAGTAGTGGTGCCAGCCGATGATGTCACAAGAAGTGACACATTAGCCACAACTCATCCAAGCTTTCGCATGGCTGGTCAGTGCACTGCCAAGGATATATATATATTGCTTGGCCTGGCTGTTTTCAGGTTTTCTTGCAGTGTTGGCAGGTTGTGATAAATAAGTGGGTTTATTGGGAGTACCCAATAAACTTGGGTTGCAGTTTGGGCACTCGGTCTCTAAAAGGTTCACAATGACTGGGTTGCGGTTAGAAAAAAGAGGTGCCCTGGCATGATTCTGATGGTTGGAATGTGTTTAGAATGGGCAGAAATGTTGAGCTGTGCAGAAAAAGCTACTTGAGGAAAGCTTTTTCAAAATTGTCCTAGTTTCAATGGAATTTTAGCCTTACATTAGGGTTGGGGCTGTATACCAGGGTAGGATTAGGTTTAGGAAAACGAGGTGTCCTGGAATGATTCTGATGGTTGGAATGTGTTTAGCATGGGCAGAACTGGTGATTTCTAGTTCTATACTAAACCTTCAGTTTTCAGGTGTTATTGTAGTGTTGGCACTTTGTGATGAAAAAGTGGGTTTTGGATTGTAGTTTGGGTCCTCGGTCTCTAAAAGGTGTGCCATCACTGTTTTAGTCTATCATCATCCCTCAGCTTTGCTGTGCTGCCTAAGGCAGATCAGAGTTGCAGTCCTAAACATCTGGAGGGCACACGTTTTCCACCCGTTGATAGTTTCAAGCAAAGTCCTGGTGCAAAGTTCTGCATAACACCAGACTCTTGTGCAGCCCTGGTGAAAATCTTCCAAATGCTTCTTGATTTTGAATGGATCATTGCCAATTCATATATATGTCAATGTTCAGATGAATGGTATGAAAAGGTATTTGAGTAAACTTGCACCAAATGTCCCTGTCCTCTATAGAAGTGCAGTTCAGTTGATGGAGTTTGCTATGGCATTGCAGAGATGGCTGCCAACCTGGTTGACTCAGAAGAGGATTAGACAGATTCAAGAAGATCAGGGCTATCCACCACTATGAATAGCTATAAATCAGAGGCAGTCTCCTTTTGAATGCTAGTTTCTTTGGAGCATGAGGCTTCTATTGTACTCCTATCTTATTTATGGGCTTCTCATAAGCATGTGATTGGCCAGTGTGGGAACAACCCTCTGACCTGATCCAGCACAGCTCTTTTAAAATATTTTTACTTTTAGGGGCAAAAATGTATTCTTTGATTGATTTGCTCTAAGTGGGAAAAGCATCATTCTAGTCTTACTTGTGTTCTATGATATCATATGTGCATACAGCATTCACCTTTACCACTTACCTTTCCAGCCATTTCCACTGGAGAAATCTATCAAAATACATGCTGTCTGAATATTCTTGAAACGGTTGTCCACTTAAGTAGTCCTGAACAGATCTGTCTCAGATGAAAAAGGCAAGAAATAGATTTTACAATCCTGAGATTCACTACAAGGAAGTGTTCCAGTCCCTTTTAAGTGAAGCTGGATAGACTAACGTCCACTACTTAGCACATAAAAACCCTTTAAAAACATAATACACGCTATGGTTAATGCCAAACGCTGTGGATTTTGATGGTATGGTCTATTGCTAATATTTAAGGCTTGCGAAGGCCTGGCTTTTTACTGTTACATGCCCAGCACGTTCCATTGTGGTGTTTCTAATTTCTATCTTGCCAATAAATTCTTTATTAAAAGCCTTGGAGCTGACTGGTTTTTTTCAAAACAACCAGGCACCCTTGCTTCAGGTGTTTCTCAGTGTATATAGTCGACACTATACTCTGCAAAGCTGCTTTATTTCAGCTAGGCAATTAAGCACAGCTCATTTCTAAAGAAGCAGCAGCCGCCTTTCAAATCACTACTTAATTTTTGCCTTTTCACTTTGGTGTAAGGCAAGTTTTTCCTATATATTCCACGTTCTGAAGCTAGTATGAACCAAAGAATCAACTCCTTTGAACACCAAGTCCAGTATGTCTCTGCCGTAACGGTACATTCTCCATCCATCTGGAATATGTTAAACCACTATTCCAACATACATGATACAAACAAAGCTAATGGGGCGAAATGAAATTGCCAGTGCAACAAGCAATTCTCATTTTCTTCCACAGCAAAGAGCAAAATGAAAGTGGGAAAAGGCCGTTCCAACACATAAGCAAAACTAAGTGAGCGGACCACTTTTGATGATCTTTCGCTTTTGGTAACATTCGCTGTTTTCAGGCCTTCCTGTCCAGACAAACACAAGTGCTTGGTTTGCAAGAGCAAATCTTTTTCTAAGGAGCTTTGCAGTACGATAGAAACATTGCCATGACTTTGCAAAACTGGTAAGCGCTCTCCCAGACAAAGGCCATCAGAGCACACACGTACTTCAGTGTCATTGTGTTTCTATTTGAGACGGTCTGGCTCAACAATGTACAGAGATATTTAAATGTTCTTTTGCCCAAGTGGCTTCTCAAGCTTCTTAATTTTTTTCTCAGTTTTGAAACAAAGTACAACCATGTATCCATTTGAGAGAGCAGAAAGCAGATGAACAGCCTCCTTGTCTCATTGTTTTGCCCTTTTGTCTCGAATGCATGCTCCAGAGCATCAAGGCCGACTTTCCTAATGACACAAGAGTGAGCATCAGTCCCTGTGAGCTGTTCGAGCAATTTTCAGAATTTGGTCGATTTCCTCTGATGAAGGATCTCATTGTTCTGAAATGCATAGGACTAAGAATACATTATTCTTGGTGGTCTTGCTTTGTTCTGCATTCCTTGTGGTTTCATACTGGCCTTCCAACAGATATGCTGGCTGAAGATGATGGGAGTTATAGTCCAATCGAAAGGACACTGGATTGGGGAAGATTGCCCTATAGGTATCACCTTTATGTAGGTTAAAAAAAGTGTACAAAGCACGTCTGCTCTCAAGCAGAGACACACCTATCTTGTCACTTCGGAAGTTGCATCATTTTGCTAGGGAGTTCTGCAGAGAGCAAAAATCCCCACTTTTCTCCTTTATTTCTAATCCAGTGGCTAGTAGCGTAACAGCCAGCATTGCCACATTTGTTTGAACTCAACATTCCTTTGCTGCTGAGAGAAATAGATAATTCAGAGCATGTGGCAAGCTGCCTTGTGCTTGGGCTCCCCAGGGTTTCAAACAGGACTTTTCCAGACACAGCCGGAGCCGCCAGCAATTGGACCTGGGGCCTCTGGCATGCAAGGTGCATGTTCTGCAACTGAGCTCTTGCGCTCCCCTAGATTACTGTTTTTCCTTCCCCTTTTTATTGCTGCCGCCACTGCTGCCACCACCACCACCACCATTTTAGTGTTAGATATTCAATCTTGCCCTTCAGATAGGCAATTATGCTACAATAAAGAATAATGTTCATAAAATGAAAGAGGTCCTGGTTTTGGGGAGGGCACTGCCTTGCTGCTCTATGCATTTATTCCTTTCCCATACATTTTAGAAAGTCAGATCAATGGCAGTATTTAAGCATACATTTAAGCATATCATCCCCACCCCAAGAAGCTCATTTACTCCTTTAAAAAGTTTTCGGAAATGGCAAAAGCCGCTGGAAAGCATGTCAGAGTGGCTTGATTATTTAACCCATGGATTGATGGGGTGGCCAGTGAATAAGCACACTCTCCCACATCCACCTGGCAAACAACTGGTTTAGTAAACAGCTCAGGATTGCCTTGTTCCTGGGTTGTTTACTGAGGTGTCTGAATCTAGCACTCTGGGTTATTGAGAAAGAAACAACACAAAGTATTAACTTATGTTTTGTTGCTGGGAAAAAACTCTGGTCTATTTCTCCCTCAACAATCAAGACAATTGAGTTCGAATGTTGCACCAAATGAGTCAAAATCAGGGCATTCTTGGCTTGCTTGCTAGACTAGATGCAGAGTGGAAGTGGTGAATGAGTGTGCTCATGTGCAGTCCTGACTACCCATGAGTTAATTAACTGATTAGTATGTATATCAATGTGTCACAGACACTAGATGTTCGTGATGTTTGAAAAAAAAAAAGGCCAAAGGAGACAAGTATTAGGTGCAAATCGGGGGTAGCGTTAAGGAGCATGACACTAGATTTGGAACCTTGAAGCTTTCATTTGAACCCCAAGAGAGGCCATCTGTCCCACCTCCCTGCTATCCATGGCGACTTTCTAAAATGCAGGCGTAGGAGCCTTGATGAGCAATGTAACATCTGATCCCCTTGGTTTTGCTGGATTTTTGTGCACATGTGCTTCGCCTCCTGCTGTCCCTCCTTTGAATTGTTTGTCTGTGTTGTTTTGCTTGCTTGAAATCTAATGTGATCCTCTCTCCATCCATATATTTCTTTTAACAGAAAGGGGTGCCCTTTGGGACATGATGTTTCACAGCATACATAAATTAGCATGTGCACATTTTTGCTTCCTTCCCCACACTTGTGGGCCTCAGCCCTGGCACCAGACACTGCCCCGGCTGCACATAATAAGCTTATTATTAACAAACCTTTCCATTTGGAACCTATTACTTGGCTATAAACCTAACAGCTTTGGCTATAGGAAAGTATATGAATGAATGTCATATTTCCTTTCAATGTTGACTTATTGGAATTTACAGTTTTATTGTTCTAACAACACTTGTACAATCATAATAAGCATGACTCCTGAAAAGTAAAGAGAACAATGCATTTTGCTCACAGCAGCAAATTCACAGTATGAATGTTCTGGAACTTCAGGAAGGATCGGAGGGAGGTGGTGTCGGTGCTGCTGCTGAATGGCTTTTGGACACCTTTGCCCAACAACGCATGTGTAAATATGAAAAGATTTATTTGGAATAATTTATGGAGCACCTATATACTTCCTCTCAGAAGGCGTTCAGTTCCTGTGGGTTTAGTAGAGTCCCGGGATCTTTGACTGCAATCTATGACTGCAATGCTATACAAGAGTTAGGAGAAAAACTGCAGTCTGGAGCCTGCTGGGATTTGTAGGTCTTTTTTCTCTTTAACCTTGCATAGGATTCCAACCTCAGTTGTTCAAACTTCTTTATAGTACCATTCATCACATCAGATTTCTGTGTGGTATACAGCATAAAAGAAATACAAAGAAAGGAGGGGAGAGAGGGAGAGAGAGAGATCTTCAAACTGTTTTTATTTTGTATTTAAAAAAATGTTAGGCCACTTTTAAGGGAGGAACTCTCCTTTTTGTTGTTCCCTCAGCAGAGAGAAGTGAGGCAGGAAGACTTGTTGGATAACCAGCAATTATCTGAATTTTACTTATGAACACCATCTAGAACTGTAACTCCCACGACCACATTCATCACAAAATTGTTTATTATTGGGTGAAAGTCTCTGATATATATATATCCCTTAAATGTCAATGTAATCCACTTTCAACACAGCACCCCTCATTTTGGGGGTAACTGTGGGACCCAATTTCAAACTGTTGGGGAAAATGGAAGAAAAAACTTCCAGAACCCCAAAATAACATTTTGATGCCTCTGCCCACTCACAGACCACATTTTCTGAAAGGAAATGGGAAATTTAATAGCACAGGGGGGAAACCCCACAAAGAAGTAGGTTTTGTTTAATGGGAAGAAAAAGTAACTGATGGAGCAAGCTAAGTATATAATTTTAAGGCAAGACTCTAAACAACAAAATAGGAGGAAACAGTGTCCAATAATTAAGTTTGTACAATTAAATCAGTTGAGATACAATCCTATGGTTGGCAAACAGTGCCTACCAGGGCCATAGGAGAGGCTGGAGTTCCAGATCTGACCTCAGAAACACACTCCGAGGTTAGATCTAAGATTTCAAAGTCAGAACTGGAACTCAAAGGTCAGAGTGTATTCACACATGCACTCACACACCCTTGAAGCAAGCATGGGAAAAATCACACCGAAAGTGGCTCTGTGGGTCCAACTTCAAATCCGGAGGTTTGTGGGAATCTGGACAGTGGGAATGGAGGCATGAGACTCTGCTGTGGTATGATGTAATCTGGTGGTCCATGAATGTCTCCTTTTTTGCCAGGGCAAAAAATGGGTGAAATTGGAATCAGTTGGAATCAGTCTCTTCTGTGGTCACTGGACATCTCTCCCATTCTCAGCCATGGTCAGGAAGCAAGCTGAGATCAAGTTTGTGAACACTTGCGAACACTAGCTGATACTTAGCTGAATGTGTGCAAAGTACATAATTTTTCGTGCAAGATACACAATGTACATAATTCTTTGCGTGAAATATGTGAAGCCCATAAGACACATGAAGCCACAAGACAGCAGAGCTCCACTTGAACTTGTTCTTGCCAGATGTCCACACACGTTTGGCATGATGCAAAATTAGGGAACAGAAAAAGTAGGCCAAAGTCCTGGGAGCCGAGCTGAAGAAATCCAATAATTCCCTCAAACTGAATTCCTCACATCCCTAGATCAGACATCTAAGCCTTTTGCAGGATGGGAGGAGCTTGAAGGCATCCTTTGTCTCTGTGTTCCTTCCACCTTCCATTGAATTTTTGTAATCCTCAGAGTTTGGTGGGTTACAGGCAGCCATTTTAGATTGCACTACCCATCAATTAAAATGTCTAGTGGTAGACATCTGAAAGCCGTACTGGCATCCAAGAAGCCTCTTTAGGAAGGACACTACATAAACCAGTGGATGCCATTTTAGAGTAGTGATCTTGTAAGTGATCTCTCTAAGATTTAAATGGCATAAAGATAATGGACTAGGAAATGGCAGATTGACATGAGAGCAGGAGGCCAGTATACTCTTCAAAATGGAAAGTCTGAAGATTACAGATGCCAGATTATTTTAATTTACATTATTTCTATCCTGAAGCTCCCTGGGCAGTTTGCAAGACGTTTAATGCTTCAGGTGAGGAGGTGAGTTAAAATTATCAACCTCTAAATGGCTCTGAATGGAAAAGTAATCATGTGGAGAGCCACAACAAATAACATGAGTTTTGGATATCCACTATACTTACTTCACACAAGGTAAGAAAAGCTCTTTACAAGGGCTGTTTTCAAGTTTTTCTTCTGTCTGATGGACAAGATCTTGACTGACCTCTGCTACATAAGCTGGAGACTAGGAAAAAAACAGAGAGGATCATCAATACATTAGCTTTGTGATGGGAAAAACATTTCCACAGTGGTAACCAAATTCACTTTGGACATTTCCAGACCTAAGAAAACACCACCAGAATTTATCTTGTCATGGATGATGATTGCAAGTTTTAAAAGAGAAACATTCTTTGTGGCTTAGAAAAACATAGTCATGTGGGAAACTGGGCACTTATTTGCAATAAAAATGATAATCCTTTCAGATAGTCCACGACTAGCTTGTCCTATTGGTCTTCTTTTAAAAACATGGCACTTGTTTATAGGTTATGTGGATATTCTTGAACCTCATATAAAATTTCCCCAAAGGTGTTGTACTGTTAATGCCTGTTCACTACATACAACTTGGGCTAGAAAAAGGACCTATAATAAAAGGGGTTTTATAAAAGTGTAAATTCTAGCTCCATTGAAATTACTGGGGACTTAAGTTAACTTTGGATACAAATAATTTTTGCAATGTATCCTCACCTCTATCAGGAGTATTTCTGTTCAAGGTCTCATTTGGGCAGCCATATCTTTTCACAAATAAGTCAGTTTATTTCCACCTTCCCACACCAGTTTTCTTCCTCAGCATACTTGTTCCTCCTCATGGGGTTGAGTATGTGTTACTGTTGCTTTTTTGTAAGGGCTGCCAAGAATTACTCACACAGAGGGGTTTTTTTAAGTATTTATTTTTTTCCTTAACTTCCTTCAGGTTTTTCAGTAGCTGTGTTTCTCAGCTCAAAGCCCTCCCCTCAAAATATATTACAAATTCACCTTTTAGCATAAAATGCATTCAGAAATATGCATTTATATATGCATATGTATTTATATGTGAGTTTTGTGACACAATAGGCTCAAAAATAACTTTTTAGAAGCAGTTTTGTGCTGAATTCTAAATACATTATCATCTATTAATGAGCATTAAGTACAGAACAGACTTATGAATGAACACATGTAAAACGGGCATTGACCAGAAACAGAACATTCTTTCCGTCTTCAGTCATGGTTAGTAGCAGTTCAACCTTATGATCTACTTAACTGTAAGGGTGAGTGAGAACTAATACCTGTGTTCAGCCGGTTGATGCGTGTGTGTGTGTGTGTGTGTGGACTCATATACATGTACACTGGCCTGGTTCACACATTATGGCAACTGAGATTTTCTTTCTAGACCCTGGGTGACTGAATAAACCAGAATGATAGTTCCAGAAGCTCAATGGATCCCATTTGGTTCCTCCTGCCAGTTGGAGCAGCTAAGCAAGCTGCTCTTTAGCAAGACATCACATTCTGGAGCCTTGGCTCGTCTCTCCTCAAACTGTCATTGGGACCCAGGATTAAACCTTGATGATGACTGGACCAGGACACACACACACACACACACACACAGAAGAAGACCAGGGAAGAAAGAGAGAAATGTGTGTGTGTTGCAGCTTGCCAATGCATTTGTGCAATCAATGCTACTTATCCAACTGGCCTGGTTTCCCCCATTGCTCCATTTTGTACGTTTGATAGCACAACAACCTATCACAAAAACACCATCAGTCTGCAGTTCTTTCCTCTTCCTACTGCAGCAACTTCCCATTGTGAAGTGAAGTAGAAAGGAAGAAAGTTAGGTGATGGTATTCAGCCAGTAATAATGCCACGGAAGCGATAATGCAGCCACAGCAGGCCAGAGAGGCAGTAAACAAGCGGGCTGCAACGGTGGAGAGGGGCAGCAGCTCCAAGGACCTCGTAGGTGCCCGTCGTGCCCACCCTTGATGCTGGCCCTGACCATAGTGATGAAAGATCATGTACATGTATTATTCTGTGCTTCTTATGAATAAGAGCCATAAAAATCCTCTTTGGGTTTCAAAATTAACTGCACACTTGAGCCAACGTATGTCCAACAATCCTATTCAGACACTCCGCAGAAATTATGCATGAAGCAGGTGCAGGGCAGCCCATTTTGCTCCACCTGGTCTTTGTTGTGTGCTGAGGCGCAGAGGGAGATTCTAAGCCCTTTCAGCTGAATACACATGCAGGTCTATGATTAGGAGCATTGATAAAGCAGGGCTCCCAATTGTGGGGGAACTCCTACCAGCCTTCAGCAGAAAGGGCTTAGAATCTCCCATCAGAACTTTCAAAAGGTCAGGAAGGAGCCAGTGGCGAGGTTTGGCAGCCCAGCCATCTCTTCATGTAATAGTTCCACATGGCTTGGAATGACATCTGATTAGGGTTGATGTCTGTCAACTCTGGAAAGAACAAAACAGAACTCTGAAAGAAGAAAATAGATTCTGAACAGAATTTCAGAAAGTCCCAACAGTTTATTTTCATGGTGAAGTTCCCTATTTCAGTTAGAATTTTCCTCTGTGCACAGAGTTATATGCTCTCTCTTTGACTTCTGCAGCAAGATACATTGTACAGAGTAAACAGTTTTCTAGCTGATCAAAGAAGTTTACCTTCATGCATTCTGGGGTTCTTTAAAAACCAAAGCTCAGTAAAATAATTAATAGAAAAAAGTCATGCCATAACGTCATGCAAGCTTTCTAAAGAACATGGCAATCCAGGATGAAAAACAGCAGTGGATGTTTCCATGCTGCATTCACATTGCCCTTTCCCACTGCAAGTTCATGAGAGACACTGTTGGAGCTTTATTTTTCAAAATTATTTGGGATCTAATCTCTCACTTTTCCTCCTTCTGAGCCGATCTGTACATATTTAGCATTTGTCTATCAGCATGAGTCAAGTCTCGTTAGAGCACTATCATTCTCTCTTTCAAGCACAAAAAGACATATATGGATGGACTTCATCCCACAAGCTGATACTGCAGACCATTTTAACAGATGGTTAATTTAAACAGAGACAATTCCCCCTCTCTTTAGAAAGCTCATTTACACAGTCTCATAGAAGACTTAGAGGGAGCACCCATTTATACAGTAGACAAGAACAACTGTCTCTCTTAGACAAGAATGGAATGGCAACAGGAAACTCCTGATTCCCACCAGATACAATTAAGTCCCGTGCCACCTAGTGATTAAACAATATAATGACATTATCCAAACACACAGCTATTGCATGACTATGAATACAAACTTAGGCCAGACAATGCACTTCAAGCAGTGCAATTGGCTTGCAGATATTTTATGGGTTCAAAGAGAGTTCCCCATGCATGCAACACCCCAACATTACTCATTCTTTTCACGTTTTCCTGAAGTCCAGTTTATGGGTCAGACACTTATGAAACTACAAGCACTGACTCTCATTTTCAAAGTTGCTAGATTTGTTCAGAGCTAATGAATTAGAACAACCACACAACCGTTTTAATGCTTTGGAAAGTCATTATCCAGTAAAGCACATCTGCAAGATAAATGAGGGCAACATTCCAATACAATACTAATATGAACGGGCTTAGACACAATTAAATCCATGCCTATGTTGCTGCTAACTAGGATGCTGTTGTTATTTAGAACAAGCCTATTTAAAAGGGATAATAGAATAAATGATGGCTCAGATTTGTGGCATTTTTTCAGCACATGTTAGAGAGGGGTGGTTGGGGGTTTAGTTACATGAGAAGTTGCTGCAGTGGGAAACTTTCTTCTTCTATAAATAGTCTGATTTCTTAGTATGATTTTAATGAACTTTAGCTGCTTCTCAAAAAAGGAGCAATCATTGCAAGTACATTCACCCGCAGTTCATGACTGTATGCTTGACACTGGCAAGAAAGAATGCACTTGTGTTTGACCACATGGTCTACCCATGCTGCAGTCCTAAACAGCCTTACACTGAATTAAATCTCACTGATTGCAGGGGGCTTACTTCAGAGTAGGTATGGCTGGGAACCTGTCTTCCCTCTACAACACGCCTCTAACATTCTACCCATAGATCACATTTATATGGTACCCAAGAAGAAAGTTTTCTGGGCAGCTTACATAAATCAAACACAGAATGATACATAAAAATCTAACAATAAAAATAGATTCAAGACTCTTTGCAGCACTGAAGATCTTTAATTATTTTAATTTCCTGGAAATATATTTTTACAAACCCTTAAAATACTAAAGAGTCATTGGAAAAATAAAAATGAATAAAAAGAACATTTCCTAGTACTTGAAATGACTAAGCCATGAAGACCTCAACCACACAAGGACCAAAAGCAGCATGCTGGAGAGCAAGGGCTTAGAAACCTCTGCCCTGGATGCAAGCTTTATAGGCCGGGGTGGTGGCTTTGTGTTCAGCATGGAGAATTCTTCTGAATTATAAAAGTTATTAAGGCAAGTGGAGGGAACAGATGAAGAATACTCACACCAGGTCTGGCCCTCTTCCAACTTGCCTCTTTGGTCCGGTTCTCTATGAATGGACTACTCAGCAGTGCTGGCAGTTTCTATCAGCCCCTGAAAATGACACTAATTGGAAGGTGACTGAGGAGAAGGCAGAGGGCCAGGCCTGGCCCTGCTTTGCGGAACAATACCAGAAGCTTCAGTGGCAAGAAGAGTTCCTGACGGGCCATCCAACATTCTGGATGCTTGCTGGGTGGCCTGGCAAAAGATTCCAATCCACATCCCTAATTTCATTTTGCTTCTGCTCCCTGTATGGTAGCCACATCATCAAACAAGAGAGCAAAAGGGGGCACTTACTGGCATCACCTTTTGCATATGCATATATATATATATATATATATATATATGTATGTATGTATGTATGTATGTATGTATGTATAGGTGTACTTGGCTCTGGTGTTGGCTGGCCTTTGCCAGGATACAGTATTTCACAGTAGGGTCTCTCTTTGATCTCCTTATGAGAAGACACAATACACCTAGATGGCCGAAATAGACAGTCTAAGCATTTTGCCGGGCACGCAAACCACAAACATGGTCTTTGCTGCTTCACTCCTTCCATCCTCAATAGGATGCCCATAATCTTCTGAGTTTGGACAGTTACAGGCAGCCACACTGGATGGCACTGCCTGTTAATTGAACTCAGAATTTTACTTTTTCCTGCTCCTCCCCGCTA